GAGGTTGGCCGGGGCTCTGAGCAACCTGCTCTAGCTGCAGATGTCCCTGCTCAGGGCAGGGAGCTTGGAATAATTACCTTGACAGGTCCCTTCCCACCCAAACCAGTCTGGGATTCTGTGACTTGCAGGTAAAAAAAAAAGTGAGTAGTTTTCTTGTCAGCAGTGTTAAAAAGTGCTGGCTGAATTGTTAATATTTGTTTGTTTTGCTGTTTTTTATCCAACAGGTTACTGGTCATTTAGATGACTGCACCTGTGATGTGGAAACCATTGATGCCTTCAACAACTACAAGCTTTTTCCTAGACTGAATGAACTTCTGGAAAGTGACTATTTTAGATACTACAAGGTAATTTTCTCATACAGGAATTGTATTCCATTCATGTTGTATGCTGTTGCTTACTTTTTTTTTAAATAATAAGTCTTCCTTGAAGTTATTACTGGGCTTTTTAAGATCAGGTACCCTCATTTTAATACTGATTTCTGACAATGCAGTCAGTGAGTGCAGCTCTTCTATTGTCAGGAGAAACTCAATGTGGTACTACATCCTTCTAAAATAAACTACATGTTTTTAAAGACAGAGAATAGATGAGTTCCACTTGGAAGGGACCTACAGTGATCATCCAGTCCAACGGCCTCACCATGCCCCATCTTCTTGCCCCCTGGGGCCCTTTAGCTCTTGCTCAGCATTGATCAGATCCCCTCTGAGGCTTCTCTTCTCCAGCTGAACAGCCCCAGGGCTCTCAGCCTGTCCTGGCACAGAGATGCTCCAGCCCCTCAGCAGCTTTGTGCTGGGCTCTCTCCAGTAATTCTTTATCTTGACCTGGGGAGCCCAGAGCTGGCCAGAGTCCTTCAGAGTTGACCTCACTAGGACAGAATAGAGGGAGAGGAGAACCACCCTCAACCTGCTGACTCTTCTTCATGCACCCCAGGAGACCGTTGGCCTTCTTGGCCACGAGGGCCCACTGCTGGTCATGAGGAACTTGCTGTCCCTCAGCACTCCCAGGTCCTTCTCTGCAGGACCCCTCACCTGAACTGGTGCAGGAATCATTTGTCCATGCTTGCAGGGCCCTATGCTTGCCCACACTGAACTTCATTAGGTTCTTCTCTACTCAGCTCTCTATTCTGCCCAGATCACTACTAAATACTAACACAAGTCAAGACTAAACACTAACACTCAAGTGTTACTAAAGTGACTCGAGTGTGATGGACTTTAAGGTAAGTAACACCATCTGTTTCCACCCCCCTGCACACAAACTTGCACTGAGTTCTGGTATCCCAGGTCTTGCATGAAGATGTGGCTTGATCCCACAGAGGAGATGTGTAATTGGACAATATGGTTTTTGTAGGTAAACCTAAAGAAGCCGTGTCCTTTCTGGAATGACAGCAGTCACTGTGGGATAAGAGACTGTGCTGTAAAGCCCTGCCCATCTGTAAGTACCAAAGCCATCCTCTTGCCTCTTTTCTGTATTGGGCTTTTCCAGACCAAGTGGGAGAAACAGGCAAACAACTGACTCCTCTCATTGCTGCTGCAGCAAAACTGTGGCTCTGAGGGAGCTTTCTTAGGTGCTGGTATCCTTGAGAAAGGCCAAAATGCTAAATTCTGAGAGTTTAAAGAAAGGCCAGGCTTTTAATAGCTGAATGGCTGAAAACTTGTCCTGGTCCCTCTCCTATTTTTGGTATTAATGAGGTGGTTTGGGGGCAAACCTGTTGTTGTTACAAGAGGTGCCTTGCAGATCCTTGAGGTGAGGCATTGGCCCAGGCTGCCCGGGGAGCTGGTGGAGTCCCCATCCCTGGAGAGGTTCCAAAAGACATGTAGACATAGCACCTGTGGACATGGTTTAGTGGTCATGGTAGTGTTGGATTGATGATTTGACTTGATAATCTTAGGGGTCTTTTCCAACCTTAATGATTCCATTAATTGCCAGGATATTCACTCTGTTGGCCCATGAGCCACACTGTGGGTTGCACTTTTGGCTGACAAATTTGCCCAGGCCCTTTCCAGCCCTCCCTGTAGTGAAATGGCTCTTTCCCAAGTGCAAAAGCAAACACTCTTATCCCTGTATCCTGGACAAAATGGTTTGTTCACTGACCTACAAGACAACATCTGGAATGCTAGTGTCTGCCTGACAAGAAGGGGAAGAGAAAGCAAGTGAACCAGAATGTGGTTGCTGGTTGGATAGGGGTGGTGCAGACCCCACCCAGCCTGGCTTTGTGGCTTGACAGCCAGCAGCAGCTTGTCCTACCCCTTCACTCTGGGTCTGTGGGGCAGTTTCTCCACTCATGGTGTGTGGAAGGCCATCACACTGACATGATGAGGGCCCTTGGTGAGAGACACCCCAGTCACTCCTTGCCTGCCTGTTTCCAGCTCAGTGGTTTAATTTTGTGTGTTGTTTAAAATCTTCTGTGGTGAAGCTGGTGTCTGTCCCCATCACTGATGGGACACCTTGGAACAACCTGGTATGAGTGTGTGAGTGGTCATCACATATCAGGTGAATTCATTTGTCTTGCTCAGCAACCACCCTACCCCTCAAACCAGCATCCTCTGCTTCCCTAGTCTTCAAAAAGCACCTATTACAGACCCAAAATGGAATGATGATTTTTTGTTTTGTTTTCCTCAAAATATCCCTATATTTTGTTTGAATACTTTTTTCCTTAAAAAGGGTGGTTTTGGTAATGAGTATGTCCAAAGTGGCAGAATAATCTTACAGTCACATTAGTGGTAGCTTTAAGAGCTATGTCATTGCTGGTTTTAATTATTTTGATTTGGGTCCATTTCTTGCTGAATGCAACAAAAATAACTCATTCACTGCTTAATTTTTCTCATCCTGTGCTCTCACCATTGTTGCACTTGCTCTGCAGTGTAGAAGTGGGTTTCTTGCTTTCCTACTGGTGGAGGAGATGGAAGTGGAGGAGATTTGAGGGCCTGAATGGCTTGTGGCCTTCTGCTGGGTTGTGTGGGGCTGGGGAGCCTGATGTTACCTGATGGAATGTTAGAAGGGAAGTTGTGGAATGACGTGTGCCAGGGGCTGGCAGATAAAAGCTCTGAGGAAGCCCCTGGGCTCCCAGCAATGCCAGGATACAGGATGCCAGCCAGCAGCTGGCCAGAGGCAACTCCAGCTCCTCTGGAGTTTATATTGGCTTCCCCAGCCTCACCCCTGAGTAAGCAAAACATCACCTGATGTAGCACCCGTGGAAGGCTGCTGGCCTTTGGCGAAGAGGAGTCTTGTGAAAAATCAAAAAATAAAACACCCAGGATATTGCTTAAGTTTAGTCTGTGGAGGAGCCAGAAGTTGGATGTGTTGTAAGCTGAGCCAAGTGCTTGGATGACCTTGTAGCTTCTAGAAACTGTGGTAACCTTCCTGATCTTTCTCAAAGAAGAGGCTGCAAGGCCCATCAGCCCCACGTGCAGCACATGCTCAATTTTGTCTTGCAGGAGGAAGTCCCTGATGGGATCCGGTCCGGAAGCTACAAGGTGGGTGTGTCCACGTGCTCAAAGTGGTGCCACTTACAGGACCAGGTTTGTGTCACCACGGCTGCCTTCATCAGATGGGCACTATTTGTTGGGATGCCCTTCCTGGCTAAATTTTTACCCTCTTCAAGTGTTTGGCATGTTGCAGAGCCTTTGAGGTGGCTGTCCTGGGGTCAGGTATTCCCCTCTGCCCACATAGGGCAGCTGAGGTTCTCCAAGAGCAGGTCTCATCAGGCAGGACGTGCTCCCACAGCAGTGCCAGAGGCTGCTGTGAGTCCTTGCCACAGTCACCACAGACATCCTGAGGAAATACAGGGTGGGATGAATCATAAACGTGTTTCTATATCTTTAAAGTGTTGAGTGTGCTCAAGTCAGAATTCTGACAGCAGAAAAACTGCTTTTTAATCCTCCCCTCTCCCCACCCCTTTGCTTTTCAACCCAGTATTCAGAAGAAGCCAATAATCTTGCTGAAGAATGTGAAGAAGCCAAGAGACTTGGAGCTGTTGATGGCTCGTTGAGGTTTGACTCCTTTTCCCACAATCCTTACTTGTCTAAAAAGGGGACCCACTCTCCGTGCTCCTCCTGAGAGCCTTTTTCCCTTCCTCTGCAGCAAGGAAACCCAGCAGGCAGTGCTCCAGTGGACAAGGCATGATGATTCTTCAGACAGCTTCTGTGAAGCTGATGGTAAGGGCACCTGGCAGACCTCACAAGTCTTGTCCTGGGACTGCTCTGTGGGTGGAGGGGTGGCTGGGTCAGCCTTGGAAGATGTTTTTCTTCAGAAGTTTCTGTCACTGAGCTGTGCTCTGCTCCACAGACATCTACTCTCCTGATGCAGAGTATGTGGATCTACTCCTGAATCCTGAACGCTACACTGGCTACAAAGGGCCAGATGCCTGGAAGATCTGGAACAGTATTTATGAAGAAAACTGCTTCAAGTAGGTGCTCTGGGAGACAGGCTCCACAAGCCTGCAGGTGCTGGTTTTTGCAGAGGGGCTGTGTGTGCTTTAACTGCTCTGTTAATCCCTATGTAAGGAAAGCTGAGAGACCTGGAGAAGAAAGGTGGGTTGGTGGTTGGACTTTGATCTTAGAGGTCTTTTCCAACCTTAATGATTCTGTGATGCTATGATTCTATGACCACTGGTGCTGGCACACAGGACTGGTGGGCACTGGTCTGTAGCCTCGCCTGCTATGGTCTCTCTGGGTCATTAGATCATCACAGATCCATTAGCATCTGTGCTGAGCTTTCCTGGCTGTTTTTTCTAAAAAGAGAAGGGCATGGGGGAAGAAAGCCATATTTTGTTCTACCCCTTTTCTGTCTGAGCAAGGCTAAAATGCAGAAGGAGTTCTAAGAACTCCTTAGGCTAACTCCTTAGATCTAAGAACTCCTTAGGCTGTTTCACAGAATGACAGAGTCCCAGGTTGGAAGTGACCTCAGGGATCATCTGGTCCAACCTTTCTTGGCAAAGGCACAGTCTAGACAAGCTGGCCCAGCACCCTGTCCAGCTGAATCTTGAGAGTGTCCAACCCTGGGGACTCCACTACTTCCCTGAGAAGATCATTCCAATGGCTCATTATCCTTGTTGTGAAAAGCTTTCCTCTTGTGTCTAATTGGAATCTCCCTAGGAGCAACTTGTACCTATCTCCTCTTGTCTTTTCCATGTGACTCCTTGTAAAAAAGGGATTCTCTGTCATTTTGTAGCCACCCTTTCTTTGACAGCAGAGAAGTAACTGCTTCTGCTGTGCTCTCTTTCTGCACAGCAAGGAGACAGTCACTTACCTTATCACAGCTCAATGGGTGGCATTTTTAGATGTTTTCCCAGCTATATTTCTGCTCAGCCTTTTCATCTGGCTGGAGAAAACTGCATATTGAAGAAATCATAATACTCTAGTTTGCACACAAATCTCTGTTAATTCTGCTGGGAACTGACTTTAAATTCCTTTTTTTTTTTTTTTTTCCCCTCCTCTTAGGCCTCAGAATGTAAAAAGACCTTTGGCATCTGGTAGAGGTGAGTCATTTATTTATCTCACTGATTAGCAGCATACTGATCCTAGCTCCAGGAACAATAAATGTTCTTGGAGCTTTTTCTGCTGAATGAGAAATGTGTTGTAGCTCTTGTTTGAGTGTAGAATTCCATGGCTAATGCAAGGACACCTGGAAGTGTGAGATCACAGAAAGAAAAAGCCTCATCCTCCACTCCTGGAAGCAAAGGGAGCTTTGGAGGGACTTGGGAGCAGGACTGAACTTTGAGCTCTTCCTGTGTCCCTGGTTTCCTTACTCAGCAATGCCAAACCGTCTGTGATGGACTGAAATGAGAACCTGGCTGGGATCCTCTGTGGAAACCATCCAGGAAGAGAAACTCTGCCCCAGAGACCAAGTAAATGAAAGTGGGGAAGGGTTTTGGAAGCACAAGGGCTTCTTGCCCAAGAGACAGTTGTGTCCCTTTTTCTGGTCTTTGCTCCAGCTGTGTGGTGGCTTTATTTGACAAATGTTGATCCCTGCATTGGTCAGGTTATTTGGGGGTGTTGCTTATCCAGTTTATCCACTGCTGTAGTTTGAGACAATGTTTTCTGTCTTCAGACTAGTCCTAAACCTCCCCAGAGAGGCTCGTTCTCCTCAGAGCAGGTTAACAGAGCAATCGTAAGGCTTGGGAGTTTCACTTGGCTCATGTGTCATTTTTATCTCCTCTTTTCTCTCCCTCCACCACTTGTGCTGCTTTTCCATGGGGAGATGATGGAGGTGAGTGGTGCTCTGTTTGGTTTCACTGCTAACAGGCCCAAACGTGGCATCCTTGTCATGCTGTCACGAGCTGTGCTGTTAGATAATGCATCCGCTTACAAAAATCATCATTCAGGCAAAAGCAGAAGTTCTCATGAAATTCTGCTGTGTGTAGAACCCTGTGAGACATCCTTCTGAGCTCCCTGGCCCTGAGGCCAGCCCAGCCTTGTGTGGGGGCCCTAAAAAGCACCAACAGATCTTAAGGTGTTTTTTTTTTACCTTTTTAAGAGTACAAGATGTCTTTGAAGATAAAGTGAGGTATCATAGAACCATTAAGGTTGGAAAACACCTCTAATATCAAGTCCAACCATCAGCCCAACACTACCATGACCACTAAGCCTTGTCCCAAAGTGCCACATCTACACTTGTTTTGAACCCCTCCAGGGATGTGGACTCCAGCACCTCCCTGGGCAGCCTGGGCCAAGGCCTCACCATTCTGCTAGGAAAGAAATTCTGCCTAATATCCAATCCAAATCTCCCGTGGGGCAACTTCAACCCATTTCCTCTTGTCCTATTGCTGGTTAACTGGGAGAAGAGACCAACTCTCACCTCATTCCAGCCTCCTTTCAGGGAGTTGTAGAGAGCCAGAAGGTCTCCCCTCAGCCTCCTTTGCTCCAGGCTCAGCACCCCCAGCTCCCTCAGCTGCTCCTCACAAGCCATGTTCCCCACACCCCTCCCCAGCTTCGTTGCCCTTCTCTGGACCTGCTCCAGCCCCTCAAGGTCTTTCTTACCTTGTGGTACCCAAACCTGACCCCAGTGCTCAAGCTGAGGCCTCCACAGTGCTGAGGCCATAGGGGACAATCTCTACCGTA